CTCCCAAACCCTAGTTCATCTCTTGTGTTCAATGTTGTTACCGGAACTATAGATTGGTACTTGTGGGCGACTAGTAGTGTTGATTACATCTTGTAGTTGATTACTATATGGTTTATTTGGTGGGAGATTATATGTTCAGATCCATTATGCTATTTAATACTCCTCTGATCATGAACATGTTTATCATTTGTGAGTAGTTACTTTTGTTCTTGAGGTCACGGGAGAAATCGTGTTGCAAGTAATCATGTGAACTTGATGTGTGTTTGATATTTTGATAGTATGTATGTTGTGATTCCCTTAGTGGTGTTGTGTCAACGTCGACTACATGACACTTCACCATATTTGGGCCTAAGGGAATGCATTGTGGAGTAGCAATTAGATGGTGTGTTACGAGAGTGACAGAAGCTTAAACCCTAGTTTATGCGCTATTTCGTAAGGGACTGATTGGATCCAAAAGTTTAATGTTGTAGTTAGAATTTATTCTTAATACTTTTCTCGTAGTTGCGGATGCTTGCGGGAGGGTTAATCACAAGTAGGAGGTCTGTTCAAGTAAAAACAGCAGCTAAGCACCGATCCACCCACATATCAAATTATCAAAGTAGCGAACACAAATCGAACCAACATGATGGAAGTGACTAAATGAAATTCCCGTGTACCCTCAAGAACGCTTTGCTTATTATAAGAGACCATTTTGGCATGTCCTTTGCCTCAAAAGGATTGGGCTACCTTGCTGCATACTTGTTACTATTATCGTTACTTGCTCGTTACAAATTATCTTGCTATCAAACTACTCGCTACTTACAATTTCAACAGTTGCAAACAATACCTTACTGAAAACCACTTGTCATTTCCTTCTGCTCCTCGTTGGGTTCAACACTCTTACTTATCGAAAAGAGCTACAATTGATCCCCTATACTTGTGGGTTATCACCCCACCCCTTGTCCAATTCGGATTGGAAAGGAGGGCACCACCTCCTTGGCTGGCCCTCTCTCCTCCATTAAGGCCCATGATGGCCCATTCACTACCCGGGGGGTTCCGGTAACCCCCGGTACTCTGAAACTTATCCAAAACTTCCCGAAACCATTCCGGTGTCCGAATGCAACCTTCTAATATATGAATCTTTACCTATCAACCATTTAGAGACTCCTCGTCATGTCCGTGATCTCATCCGGGACTCCGAACAAACTTTGGTCATCAAATCACATAACTCACAATACAAATCGTCATCGAATGTTAAGCGTGCAGACCCTACGGGTTCGATAACTATGTAGACATGACCGAGACACATCTTTGGTCAATAACCAATAGCGGAACCTGGATGCTCATATTGGCTCCTACATATTCTATGAAGATCTTTATTGGTCAAACCGCATAACAATATACATCATTCCCTTTGTCATTGGTATGTTACTTGCCCGAGATTCGATCGTCGGTATCCACATACCTAGTTGCCGGCAAGTCTCTTTACTTGTTCCGTAATGCATCATCCCATAACTAACTCATTAGTCACATTGCTTGCAAGGATTATAATGATGTGCATTACCGAGAGGGCCTAGAGATACCTCTCCGATACACGGAGTGACAAATCCTAATCTCGATCTATGCCAACTCAACAAACATCGTCAGAGACACCTGTAGAGTATCTTTATAATCACCCAGTTACGTTGTGACGTTTGATATCAAACAAGGTGTTCCTCCGGTATTCGGGAGTTGCATAATCTCATAGTCAGAGGAACATGTATAAGTCATGAAGAAAGCAATAGCAATAAAACTAAACGATCATTATGCTAAGCTAATGGATGGGTCTTGTCCATCACATCATTCTCTAATGGTGTGATCCCGTTCATCAAATGACAACACATGTCTATGGTGAGGAAACTTAACCATCTTTGATTAACGAGCTAGTCTAGTAGAGGCACACTAGGGACATACTGTTTGTCTATGTATTCACACATGTACTAAGTTTCCAGTTAATACAATTCTAGCATGAATAATAAACATTTATCATAATATAAGGAAATATAAATAATAACTTTATTATAGCCTCTAGGGCATATTTCCTTCAAGAACTTGATCCGGGAGTATAGGTTGTGAAGAATCCCGACGACGCCTCCAAGGAGGATAGCGACGCCCATGGGCACCGTCGCCGCCGGCCGGCCAGCACCGGCCAGGCTTTCACTCGGTGCAGCCACTCCCACGCAGTAGGCCGAGGTCAACCCATACCTTCACTGGACCGCGCACATCCCTCACCCAGTGAGCATGCCATCGCTGTGCAAGGCCACCAGCTAGCCTCCTTGACGACGGGCCTGTAGAGACCAGATCAGGTCCTACACCCCGCATCCAACCGCAGACAGAACCTCCCTGCTCCATCAAGTAACAACCGAGCACCACCACCAGCTGGCAGTGCCCCTCCCGGGTGCCGGCCAAGGCCGACAAGTACAGGTCATGGTCGGCCCGCCCGCAACTACCACAGCCGCAGCCTCGGACCTCTCCCACTACGCGCCGCAATTAGCCTCCGCCTTGGATAGGCCCAGATATGGTCGGCCCGTCTGCAACCGCGCGCCATCACCTCCCCAAAATGAGACCCAGCATGCTTGCCGGATTTGCAGCCATCCGCTGCACTCTAGGCTATCAGCTAGCCGGATTCGCCACACCGTCGCGAAGGACGCTTGCTGCAGCAGCAGGCCACGCGCGCAGCCCCGCACCTCCACTCTGCCTCGCGCACCAGTGACAGTGCCAGATCCGCACAGCCCTGAGTCATCCCCATGCGCCCAAGCTAGATCCGCGTGGCCCCACTCCTGTAGCGCCATGGCACAAGCACCTCGCGAACGTGCCCCACTCGCACTCCTCCGTGCACCTTGCCTCGCCGAGCTCCAGTCCCTGCCAGATCAGGACGCCCGTGCGCTGCTCGATCTTGTGCGGAAGTGACCGACAGCCCCGCTGCCGCCTACATTTCATGGGCTTTGCCCTGCTGCGTACACTGGTGGCGGTGAGGGGAGCAACTTTGGTGGGTGGCCTCCCGGCGGCGGGCTCGATTTTGCTCTCCTGAGCCACCCGCGGGAGCGGCCCGAGAGAGCTGGGGTAAACAGGACCCTGCCTTGCCAAGTTGAGTGCCCTTAATGCCTTGACGTCAAACCACCTTCATTCCTTCTCTTGCTTTTTCTCGAACTCCAACTCTTTTTTGTTTGCTATCATCTCTTCTGCCGCCATATTGAACACAAGAGCATCTCCTCCATTCTTTCGCTTATCTTTCTCGCCTCTCCTGCCCGGCGGCCTTTTGAATTTTATAGTCACAGGTCCGTGTGTTCTGTGTTTTCTACTCCGGTAAGCTTAGTTCCAAGGCACACACTCTGGTTCACCGTTTAATATAACTAGCTATTAGCTAAGTTGATTTGATGTTGCTAAATTAGCTTCAAAACAAGTTTTGCTGTGTTTGGACTCCGTTTGTGACTGATATTCTACGAAGTAAAAACAAGCAAAAAAACAACAACTGGCACTAGGCACTATGTTCGTAGGTTAGTCCCAAAAAATGATATAAAGTTGCTATAAATGATTGTAAAACATCCAAGAATGATAATATAACAGCATGGAACAATCAAAAATTATAGATGCATTGGAGACGTATCAGCATCCCCAAGCTTAATTCCTGCTCATCCTCGAGTAGGTAAATGATAAAAACAGAAGTTTTGATGTGGAATGCTGGCTAACATGTTCATCACGTATTTTTTTCTTTTGTAGCATGGACATTTGGACTTTTATATTGTTCAAAGCAATAGTCTAGTTTTGACATGATAACTTAAATACTCAAGCATATCAACAAGCAACCATGTCTTTCAAAATATCAACCCTAAAATAAGCTATCCCTAGCCCATCATGCTCAATCATAGATCCATTCATGAGACACACTCGGATATTAGCTACATCCAATGCTCAAGTATGATCATAGTGCCCCTAGTTGGTGCTTTATAAGAGAAGATGGAGACTCGAATAAAAATAAAATTTGCATAAAGTAAATAGAAAGACCCTTCGCAGAGGGAAGTGGAGATTTGTAGAGGTGCCAGAGCTCAAAGCTTAAATTGAGAGATAATTTTTTTGAGATGCATACTTTTGTCGTCAATGAAAACGACCGATTAATTCCCAACACTTTCCATACTAGATATATCATAGGTGGTTACCAAACAGAAAATAAAGTGTATTTCTTTTTCCACCATTCTTTCACAGTCCATGGCTAGCCGTATCCACGGGTGCCTTCCGTACCAACACTTTTTAAGAAATTTATTATTTGATAATATAAAGTAAATTTCCTTTTCATTTGACAACATAACGGATCAAGACAATTCCTCGACATCTCGCCTTCACGCTACATCAAATGCGTGTACAATAGGCAAGGAAGGTCCAAGAGGTCTATGTTCGACCCGATCACCCCGCCTGGAGACGTATCACATGATCTCCCCGGCGCTACGGGGTCTCCTGCGAGACCTCCGTGAATATGACATTCACGACAGCTGACACACGCGGAAACCATAAAGCTTGCCAGACACACGCTCTACGCGGTAGAGGGTGCATCCAGCAGACGATTGGCATTGTCCCAAGAGATGATTACCGACGACGTCGGGGATCACCCCCGAAGACGTCGCGCAGCCAGGCAAACATGCCCTGGTACTAGATCCCATCGGCGGGGGTTGCCGCCTCTCACGCGTCCTGATGGACGGAGGAAGCGACCTCAACATCATCTTCATTGATACCCTGGAGAAGATGAAGATCTCCCTGTCAGGACTTGGAGGTCGAACGTGGGCTTCCACGGGGTAGTGTCAGGCCACCCAGTGCGTCCCTTAGGCCAGGTCGAACTCGAGGTCATCTTCGGAAATGAGTCGAATTACCGGAGCGAAACCATCCATTTCGAAGTCGCCCCTTTCTAGAGCGGCTACCATGCGATCTTGGGTAGGCCCACATATGTGAAGTTCATGGCGACCCCTTCCTACACTTACCTATAGCTCAAGATGTCTGGCCCTAACGGCACGATCAATGTTCGGAGGAGCACGAAGAAAGCCTACCAGGCCGAAGTGGCAAACGTGGAACTCGCTGAGGCCGCGTTGGCCTCCGCCGAGCTCGCCAAGATAAGAAAACAGATAGGGCCATCCGAGGTCGAGCTCCCCCAGAAGCGCGACCTATCCCGTCTTCCAGCCAGCAAAGCAAACCAAGAAGTTCCAGGTCCACCCCGAAGACAACGACAAAACAGTGACCATTGGGGGAGACCTCTCGGAGAACCAGGAGGCAGAGTTCTGATACGTCTCCAACGTATCTATATTTTTTATATTTCATGCTATTATATTATCAATCTTGGATGCTTTATATACATTTATATGTTATTTTATATCATTTTGGGACTACCCTATTAACCTAGTGCCCAGTGATATTTTTTGTTTTTTTGCTTGTTTTTGACTTTTCAGAAAATTAGTACCAAACGAAATCCAAATGCGATGAAACTTTACAGTGACTTTTTATGGACCAGAAGGGACCCTAGAAAGCTTGGGAGGAGGCCAGAAGAGCTACGGGTGAGCCACAAGCTCACAGGGCGCGCCCGCTGAGCTCGTAGCGCGCCCCAGGAGGCCAGAGAAGGTTAGATCAGAAGGATCCAACCTGAAGACAAGTGAAGAAAGACAAATAAAGACCGAATCCGAACGGATCCACCAAAGACAATCACCGACCAATTCCGCGAGATCCGTCGGAGACACACCACTACACGTCCTCCGACAATGATAGACGCACCATTGGGACAGGGGCTTCGCGGGGAGAGCCTTATTCCATCTTCAAGAAGCCGCCGTTGTCTCGTCTTCTTAAGCAGGACATAAATCCTAACAGAACATGAAGAAGCACCTGAAAACGGAGCCCTCCCGCCGGCAAAGACCGGGATACACCGCACACCCATAGCCCTAAGGCCACAAAAGATGTGGGAGATCGGCGCCGCCGCCAACGAGAGGCAGGAACCCTAGCCGCATTTCCTTGGAGGAGAGACAAAGGGAGGGAAATAATGAGCCAACATACTCGAATTATAAACCTAAGGCTCCGCCACATTATTTAAACCTAAGGTCAGATGGTTCGACATAAAATGGTAGTTGGGCGTATACGTTGCATCTTTGCTTCAGAATGTGGCATGTGCTTTTATTCTCATGGACTTTCGTAATGTTGTATTTGTTGTGAACATTTGCACATGCTTATAAGCAAAGAGTGGACTGTAAATAATTCCGCACAAAAATGTGGATCGTGTTTATTACATAGCTTTGAGGAATTTATGAACGTCAGATAATTAAGTATCTGGAGCAGTAGGTGTATCTAAGTCCAATTCTTTCTCTTTCTGTCATTTTGCTCTTCCCTTTCTGATAAAAATAATAGTTGCTGAACATGCCCACTTGGTGTGGTATGTGGATGGCTAGGCTATTCAGACGTCCAGGTAAGATTTGCATTAATCAAATGTTTTTGAAAGACCACTTGTGTGTAGACTTAGAAAGTTAGAATACAAACCACCGCCTGGTTAAGCTATAAATACACACACATCGCCGGTGGTCTTCTACCATTCAGTATATTCTGTAGTCCAGCCCATCATTCCATCCAAACCAGAAGGACTTGCGATCAAGCGCGAGCGCTTGAGAAATGGCGGCCGGTGGCTTCGTAGCAGGCGACAGCCGTGTGCAGGAGTACGGCGGCCGCATGACTTTCTCCGTCGTGGTGACCTCCCTCATGGCCGCCTCTTGCGGCCTCATCTTCGGCTATGACTCTGGCGTCACAGGTCCGTGCGTTCTGTGTGTTCTACTCCAGTAAGCTTAGTTCCAAGGCACACACTCTGGTTCACCCTTTAATATAACTAGCGAGTATTAGCTAAGCTGATTTGATGTTCCTAAATTAGCTTTACACAAACCTGTCTCCCTTGTTAGTTGGTTTAGTAGAGTTTTAGTGAAGCGAAAATAAGAAGTCATTAGAGTCAAAGTTGAATCTATCTAGTAGTAATAGTAATACAGGATGAGATCCAAGAGACGGCAAGAAATTTTAATATGTGCTCCATCTAAAGCATGACATCTCCACCGTAAGCATGTGATCCAGGCATTGCGTTGACGCCATATGCATTAAATTATGGAGTATACTTTATGTGTGGTTAGAATGGGCAGATGCTTCCGCATGACCTGGGAGCATATAGCATTTTTTTTGTCCATTATTGAATGGGAGATTATTTAGAATACGCACTCACACGGTCCGATGGAGAAGAAGGAACGAGCGGATGAGGCTTGACTAAGATAGAAGAAGCTTCACAGGTTTTCGCAAAATGAACAGAGCTTTCTATCAGCTCCCGTGCGACTTTGGAACATCCATATAAAATATCTAACGGTCCGCGTTAATTTTTTCTTGTTTTATGCACCATTGGATCTTGTTCCATTGTAGTCAAGCCCGAGCAGAGACGCCATCGTGTGTGTTATTTGTGACTGAATGACCATCATATAGGCAATGCCGCCGCAATTGTTCTTTCAAACTGCATATATTTTTACTCTTTTTATGATACTTTTAGAAAACTATTAAAATGAGGAAAATGATATATTTTTTAGCAACACAAATTGATAGATATATTAAATAAAAATAAGAAACTATTGGGCTGGCCCGCGTGACTAGCATTGCAGGTTATTGGACTAATTTGTTGCACAACACGTAGAAAAGGAGTTCTCCAATCTCCCTCTGACCACACTCCCAATCCCTATTTGGCGCCCTCTGCGTCACTTACAGGCTTAATTGCAAATGACGCACACCCCTCCCTGTGTGCATTGTAGGGAATAGGCCGACCCATGCAACGTTTGTTCATCTTTCTTTTCACGAAAAGCTTTTTACAACAACCAGTTTTGGGAAGCTCCTTGAAACTTTCAACAGGTTCTATGAAGCTTCTAGAAGCTTCCTACCGGGTTGTCTTTTTCCATTTTTTGGACCGGTCTTATTCTGTTTTTCTTTTTATTTTCTTTTTCAAATGCATGAAAATTACCAAATTCATTTGTTAATCTGCAAACTATGTTCAAAGTCACATTTTTATAATTCGCACTATTTTTTCAAAAATTATGAACTTTTCTCAAACTTGCGAACTTCTTTTCAAACCTGACAACTTTTTTATAGTTTGTGGTTTTTTTTTCAAAACCGCGAATTCTTTTCACAATCGTGAACTTTTTCTTCAAAGCCATAAACATTTCCAATTTTACATTTTTTATTCAAAAGTCAACGGTCAGCCGGTCAACCAATTAACCAGAGTTCCCCGAGCGAGCGAGCAAGGTGAGCAGTCATGTGAGCAGGAGTGAGTTAGATATCGAGTCGCATTGATAGGCCGGCCAAAAGCAACGACATGTTTGTTTCTACGGCGCACGCGCTGAACGGGGGTTCCCGACCGCACCCTACAAATGCTATATACCGCCTGTACTGGTATATAGTGGGTGATTGCCCACGTAAGCAATACATGGGCCTGAGGCCCAATGTCATAGCAGATAGCCGGTTTTCCTAGTTTTTTGTTTTTTGTTTTTCACTTTTCAGTTTTGGTTTAATTTATTTTTCCCTTTTCTCTTTTAGTTTCCTTTTATCTTTTGGAATTTTTTTATTTTTATGTATAATTATTTTTTCCTTTTTAATATTCTTGTTTTATTATTGTTAACAAATATTTTGATAAATACACCAACATTTTTAGCCTATATATGGACATTTTTCTAAACTACTTATGCAGTTTCTAAAATATGTAAATTCTTTTCAGAATTTCAAAATATCATGTTATGATAGAATAATTATGTTCTAGTATATGAACATTTTAAAAAATGTGCGTAAGCTTTTAATATTATATAAATATATTTTATAAGTTGTGAATACTTATTGAATGACATGAACACTTCTCTTAATTACATGAACATTTTTAAAAATACATAAACACTTTTCTGGCTTACTTGAACATTTTTAAAAATGTGAACTCTTCTTAATTGATGATTATTTCAAATACTTGATATTTACAAATGGAACATTTTTTTCATATTTTTACATACTTTATTATATTATTGAAGTGTTTATAGTTTTATTGTGTTTTAACATAATTTCGAAAAACAATCATACTGCAAAGCAGAGTGTATGGCAAGAACTTTTATCCTTATACATATAATGTACTTTTGGTTGACTCAGGTGGCGTGACACAAATGGAATCGTTCCTGAGCAAGTTCTTCCCGGAAGTGCAGAGCAGAATGAAGAGCCCGAAGCGTGACGCATACTGCAAGTACGACAACCAGTGGCTCACCGCCTTTACATCGTCCTTGTTCATCGCCGGCACTCTATCATCGTTGGTGGCGAGCCGAGTCACGAGGAGTGTGGGCCGCCAGGCAATCATGCTGATTGGCGGTGTCATGTTCCTTGCCGGCTCGATCATCAACGCCGCGGCCGTCAACATCGCCATGCTCATCATCGGCCGGATTCTACTCGGTTTTGGTCTTGGGTTCACATTACAGGTATATATGGAGGCCCAAAAATACAATATAATTGCGGCCCTGGGGTATTTTGAGGCCCAATACCGACCATCTCCTTTTTTATGCATACTGACCATCTCTTTCTTTTTACCGCAGGCAGCTCCTGTGTACCTCTCTGAGACAGCGCCGGCGCGGTGGCGAGGCGCATTCACGTCGTCGTACAACACGTTCGTCGTCATCGGCATACTGTCCGCTACCATCACCAACTACTTCACCAACCGCATCCCTGGCTGGGGATGGCGCCTCTCCCTCGGCCTAGCAGCCGTTCCGGGCGTCATCATCGTCGTGGGAGCCTTCTTCATCCCGGACACCCCCAGCAGCCTCGTCCTGCGAGGCCAGCCCGACCGAGCCCGCGCGGCGCTGCAGCGTATCCGCGGAGATGGCACCAACATCGATGCCGAGTTCAAGGACATCGTCCGCGCCGTGGACGAGGCACGCCGGAACAACGTCGGCTCTTTCCGGAGGCTATTCAGCAAGCAGTACCGGCACTACCTGGCCGTGGGGCTGGCCATACCCATCTTCTTCGAGTTCACCGGCATGATCGTCATCGCCGTATTCTCGCCTGTGCTGTTCCGCACGGTGGGGTTCAACAGCCAGAAGGCCATACTTGGTTCTGTGATAAACAGCATGACAAACTTGGTAGCCACAGTTCTGTCCACCTTCGTTATGGACCGCACCGGCCGTAGGTTCCTGCTCATCGTTGGGGGCATCGGCATGATGTTCTGCGAGGTATTCCCTCCGTTTTTTCAGTTTGCATAAAATTTGTCAAAAGTCAAAAGTCAACATTCACAATATGAAATCGATATCATTAGATGGCTCGATATAATTGAATTTTGGTTGGTGAACTAATGAAGGTGGCCATCTCATGGGTGATGGCGGGCCATCTCGGGAAGCACCAAGGGGTGACGATGCCGCATGGCTACGCGACCGCTGTGCTGGTCCTCATCTGCCTCTGCACGTTCAGCTTCGGTGTGTCGTGGGCACCGCTCAGATGGGTGGTGCCGAGCGAGATCTACCCGGTGGAGATCAGGTCGGCCGGGCAGGCCATGAGCATCTCTGTCGCACTGTGTCTCTCCTTCGTGGAGTTGCAGGTGTTCATCGCGTTGCTCTGCGGCATGAAGTACGGCGTGTTCCTCTTCTACGCCGGCTGGCTTCTAACAATGACCATCTTCGTGGCAGCATTCCTGCCGGAAACCAAGGGCGTGCCGTTGGAAGCAATGCAGTCAGTGTGGACGGGACATTGGTACTGGAGGAGGTTTGTCAAGCAGGATGCCAACCATGAAAGCCAAATCACCAGTGTGTCAGCTAATTAGTAAGTCCAGATAAAACTGGTTTGGACGTGATGTGTAATCTATTTCATCAAATCGTCTTAGTAGTAAAATTTATTGTATTATTACTAAAAATGAAGATGCAAATGCAATATAAGAGGGTGTTGGGTTAGGCTTAAGACCATCTCCCGGTTCCCAGCAAAATTTCTGTATTGGGAGAGTTGGACTAAAACATGACTTATTTCCCCTTTGGTGACCACGAAAAACATTGTAAGTAAAAGCATCTCCAACCGGACCCCCTGTCTCCCTCCTTATGTCAGTGTTGACGTATAAATTTATTACCTACTCTCTTCTTTCAGATCGGTCTTTTGGTTGCATTGGCTAGAGCATACACTTCTATATGCAACCCACTTTCGGTCCCAGCTGGTGCAATTAAATTGCAGCCACTTTCGATCCACGTTTAGGCCTAAGGTGGCCACACATGAGAGGGGTGTTGACGTATAAATATGTTGTATAGTCTCTTCCATCAGATCAGTTTTTGGGTTGCATTGGCTAGAGCATGCACTTCTACAGTCAGGGCGAACAGCCTGGACAAGGCTCGAACAAGAAAACGTCACCCGGCCGAAACTCCTATGCGGACGTAGAGGCCTCCACTCTCGCTAGGGTTATGTATCCTCTTGGTGGCGGCGGCGGCCGACATTGAGTAATTTTGCCCTACCACCCAACCTTACATAGTGATCACTGGTTCATACTGATCAAGGAGAGGGGCAATCCTCATGTGCCTTCCCGGTCTTGGCCAGCGTCGTCGCCATAGCTTGGGCCGGTTCTAGGGTTCATATGCCTCGATAGATCGTTCATTTTGGGCGGGTGATGAGTATGGAGGCATCAGGGTCGAGCACGACCATGGATGGCATCCAGGAGATGATTGAGAAGCTTGGTTTGAAGGAGGATGACTTGGATGATGTTATGTTTGAGGAGGAAGAGGCGCCGACGGAGACTGATGTTAGATGGATGGCCATAGCCTATGTCCACAAGGAGAAGACATATAGTTAGTTTTATAAAAAAAACATGTGTGTGTCATGGGATCTCACTCAACCCGTTGAGACTCATCCACTGGAAGACAAACTTTATACTCTGCATTTTTCTTGTCTCCGTGACTGCAAGCAAGTGATGGAAGGAGGACCATGGATCTTCAAAGGGGATGCGGTAATTCTTGCTCCATATAATGGGTTCTCAAAACCATGCACTATCTATTTAGACATGCTTGCTATATGGATCCGAGTCCATGATCTACCAAATGACTTTGTAGATATGGTGAAATCGCTTGCTGCCTAGGTGGGTGAGTTTGTGTTTGCGGAGCCTTCCGGATTGTGTTAAATTCGAGCATCTTCCGGATTGGTGTGCGGTTTGCGGCCATTTGGGCCATATGTACAAGGAGCATGAGAATGGCGTTCACCTTCCTAAAGCACTTGCTTTTAAGAACTTGTGTGCGACATGGTTCATGAGAATGGGACCCTCGAAATTGGCAAGCTTTCAACTTCGTGAAAACTGGTGGTTTGAGAGGGCTAATCCCCTGGTGGTCCTATGAAGGCCATGACCTCATTCTTGATACTCACCTCATGGGAGGTTTGAATGAAAGAAATGCTAGAGTCTTCAGGAAGATTTCTACCTTGCCAATGACTATCTTTGTTGGAATCAAATCTGAGGCCAAACTGTGGCGTATTGCAAAGGCTAAACACCTAAGGTACATGATGTCGGGAGAGTTATTTGTTGTAGTGTGGCTTGATAACCCACAAGTATAGGGAATCATGACAGTCTTCGAGAGTAGTATTTCACCCAAATTTATTGATTCGACACAAGGGGGAGCCTAAGAGTATTTGTAAGTATTAGTAGTTGAGTTGTCAATTCAACTACACCTGGAGAACTAAATATCTGCAGCAAAGTGCTTAATTAGTAGCACAGTAATATGATAATTTGATAGTAGTAGCAACAGTAGCAACACTAACGGTAACAATAACAGTAGCAGTTTTATAGTGATCGTAATAGCAGCAACAAGGAAAGTAACCTAGCAAAAACTAATATGAGAAAAGCGTAGGCATTGGATCAGTGATGGATATTTGGGTTGGATGACATTCATCATATAACAGTCATAATCTATAGTGATACATAATAGCTCCAATTCATCAATATAATGTACGCATGTATTCCTTATATAGTCATATGTGCTTGAATAAGAACTTGCATGGCATCTTTTGTTCTACCCTCCTATGACAACGAGGTCCATAAGGATGTCTAAGGGATATTAAGGCCTCCTTTTAATAGAGAACCGGAACAAAGCATTAGCACTTAGTGAATACATGAACTCCCCATACTATGGTAATCGCCAGAAAGAATCCCAATTATTGTCACCTTGGGGTATGCGGATCATAACACGTAATAGGTGCATACAACTTACAAGATAGGATCAAGAACTCAAATATATTCATGAAAACATAAAGGGTTCAAATCTGAAATCATAGCACTCGGGCCCTAATGACAGACATTAAGCATAGCAAAGTCATAGCAACATCAATATCAGAACATAGTGGATACTAGGGATCAAGCCCTAACAAATTGACTAGATTAAATGCGAAATCTCATCCAACTCATGATCGTCTACGAAGCCTATGAACATCATGGAATTGTTGATGTAGGATGTTTGATGATGACGACGAAGTTGAATCCCCCTCTTCGTAGCCTCGAAGGGACTCTAGATCAGCCCTCTCGATGAAGAACAAGAAGTGGCGGCGGCTCCATATCGTAAAACGCGATAACTCCTTCTCTCTGTTTTTCTCTCTCTGCAAATAGGTATTTATGGAGTTGGAATTAGGGCAACCGGAGGCTCGTGGGACCCACAAGCTCATAGGCTTGCCTTGGGAGGGTGGGCGCACCCCCTGAGCTTGTGACTCCTGGGTGACCCCTGTTGGGGAACGTAGTAATTTCAAAAAATTCCTACGCGCACGCAAGATCATGGTGATGCATAGCAACGAGAGGGGAGAGTGTGATCTACGTACCCTTGTAGACCGACAGCGGAAGCGTTAGCACAACGCGGTTGATGTAGTCGTACGTCTTCACGGCCCGACCGATCAAGCACCGAAACTACGACACCTCCGAGTTTTAGCACACATTCAGCTCGATGACGATCCCCGGACTCGTCGCAGGGCTTCGCCTAAGCACCGCTATAATATTATCGAGGATTATGGTGGAAGGGGACACCGCACACGGCTAAGAATATGATCACGTGGATCAACTTGTGTCTCTAGGGGTGCCCCCTGCCCCCGTATATAAAGGAGCAAGGGGAGGAGGCCGGCCGGCCCCTATGGCGCGCCAAGGAGGAGTCCTCCTCCTAGTAGGAGTAGGACTCCTACTAGGAGGGGGAAAGAAGTGGGGAGGGAGAAGGAAAGGGGGGCGCTGTCCCCCCTCTCCTAGTCCAATTCGGACCAGGGGGGAGGAGGCGCGCGGCCCACCCTGGCTGCCCCTCTCTCTCTCCACTAAGGCCCATATGGACCATTACTTCTCCCGGGGTGGTTCCGGTAACCCTCCAGCTCTCCGGTTTTCTCCGAAATCACCTGGAACACTTCTGGTGTCTGAATATAGCCATCCAATATATCAATCTTTATGTCTCAACCATTTCGAGACTCCTCGTCATGTCCGTGATCACATCCGGGACTCCGAACTAACTTCAGTACATCAAAACTCATAAACTCATAATATAACTATCATCGAAACCTTAAGCGTGCGGACCCTACGGGTTCGAGAACAATGTAGACATGACCGAGACACGTCTCCGGTCAATAACCAATAGCGGAACCTGGATGCTCATATTGGCTCCTACATATTCTATGAAGATCTTTATCGGTCAGACCGCATAACAACATACGTTGTTCCCTTTGTCATCGGTATGTTACTTGCCCGAGATTCGATTGTCGGTATCTTAATACCTAGTTCAATCTCGTTACCGGCAAATCTCTTTACTCGTTTCGTAATACATCATCTTGCAACTAACTCATTAGTTGTAATGCCTGCAAGGCTTATGTGATGTGCATTACCGAGAGGGCCCAGAGATACCTCTCTGACAATCGGAGTGACAAATCCTAATCTCGAAATACGCCAACCCAACATTCACCTTTGGAGACACCTGTAGAGCTCCTTTATAATCACCCAGTTACGTTGTGACGTTTGGTAGCACACAAAGTGTTCCTCCGGCAAACGGGAGTTGTATAATCTCATAGTCATAGGAACATGTATAAGTCATGAAGAAAGCAATAGCAACATACTAAACGATCGGGTGCTAAGCTAATGGAATGGGTCATGTCAATCACATCATTCTCCTAATTATGTGATCCCATTAATCAAACGACAACACATGTCTATGGTTAGGAAACATAACCATCTTCGATTAACGAGCTAGTCAAGTAGAGGCATACTAGTGACGTTTGGTTTTGTCTATGTATTCACACAAGTATTATGTTTCCGGATAATACAATTCTAGCATGAATAATAAACATTTATCATGGTATAAGGAAATAAAATAATAACATCATTATTGCCTCTAGGGCATATTTCCTTCAGTCTCCCACTTGCACTAGAGTCAATAATCTAGATTACACAGTAATGATTCTAACACCCATGGAGCTTTGGTGCTGATCATGTTTTACTCGTGTAAGAGGCTTAGTCAATGGGTCTGCTACATTTAGATCCGTATGTATCTTGCAAATCTCTATGTCTCCCATCTAGACTAGATCCCGGATGGAATTGAAGCGTCTCTTGATGTGCTTGGTTCTCTTGTGAAATCTGGATTCCTTTGCCAAGGCAATTGCACCAGTATTGTCACAAAAGATTTTCATTGGACCCGATGCACTAGGTATGACACCTAGATCGGATATGAACTCCTTCATCCAGACTCCTTCGTTTGCTGCTTCCGAAGCAGCTATGTACTCCGCTTCGCATGTAGATCCCGCCACAACGCTTTGTTTAGAACTGCACCAACTGACAGCTCCACCGTTTAATGTAAACACGTATCCGGTTTGCGATTTAGAATCGTTCGGATTAGTGTCAAAGCTTGCATCAACGTAACCATTTACGATGAGCTCTTTGTCACCTCCATATATGAGAAACATATCCTTAGTCCTTTTCAGGCATTTCACGATGTTCTTGACCGCTGTCCAGTGATCCACTCCTGGATTACTTTGGTACCTCCCTGCTAGACTTATAGCAAGACACACATCAGGTCTGGTACACAGCATTGCATACATGATAGAGCCTATGGCTGAAGTATAGGGAGCATCTTTCATTTTCTCTCTATCTTCTGCATTGGTCGGACTTTGAGTCTTACTCAATTTCACACCTTGTAACACAGGCAAGAATCCTTTCTTTGCTTGATCCATTTTGAACTATTTCAAAACTTTGTCAAGGTATGTGCTTTGTGAAAGTCCAATTAAGCGTCTTGATCTGTCTCTATAGATCTTGATACCCAATATGTAGGCAGCTTCACCGAGGTATTTCATTGAAAAACTTTTATTCAAGTATCCTTTATGCTATCCAGAAATTATATATCATTTCCGATTAGTAATATGTCATCTACATATAATATCAGAAATGCTATAGAGCTCCCACTCACTTTCTTGTAAATACAGACTTCTCCAAAAGTCTGTGTAAAACCAAATGCTTTGATCACACTATCAAAGCGTTTATTCCAACTCCGAGAGGCTTGCACCAGTCCATAAATGGATCGCTAGAGCTTGCACACTTTGTTAGCTCCCTTTGGATCGACAAAACCTTCCGGCTGCATCATATACAACTCTTCTTGCAGAAATCCATTCAGGAATGCAGTTTTGACATCCATTTGCCAAATTTCATAATCATAAAATGCGGCAATTGCTAATAGGATTCGGACAGACTTAAGCATCACTACGGGTGAGAAGGTCTCATCGTAGTCAATCCCTTGAACTTGCCGAAAACCTTTTGCGACAAGTCGAGCTTTGTAGACAGTAACATTACCGTCAGCGTCAGTC